CGGAAATAGTAAATCCGGCAAAAAATTTGATCATTTTTTAAAAGTTATGGGGCTATTCATATTTTCTGCATTCCGTTGGGACTAAAATTGTCATCCTCCTATACCTGTGAGACTAGTTTTGAATTTTTCTCTATTGAGAATAGTAGAGTTGAGTTAAAATTGGAATTGGGATTATATTTTTTTTTTTTTGATATAGCTATATCCAAACCTGCACTTAATATTTACTTAAGGGAGATCAACTATCTTTGACGGTTACATGATCGAAATAACGGCTACAAACCCCGACGAAATAGTTCCGTAACGGGACCATAGCATTTCCCTTAACTTAATAGTTTTTTTTTTTTCATTTAACCAACACCCAGTAGGGTGAGGGTTAAGGCAGAATCCCCAACCTGTATATAAAGTGCCCTAAATGGGCCGAAAAGTCACAAAACTACAAGTCCAATGTCTGATAGCGTAAGTAATTATTTCCCAAGTAGCAAGACTTTATTTAACCCCACCTTTGAGCATTTGCGGGGCCTAGCTCACTTTCGTATCCTAGTAGGCTTGATTCTCAACCACTCTTTGGCTTTTTATAAGTCTTCGTTGCTCCTCTCTCAGTCATCATTGATCCTCAGTCCAGGTTTCTACCTCTACACAGTTCGCTAATTGTAACCGAGACTTTTCAATACAACTTTGACTTTCATCCTCCATCCCACTTATCTTTTCTTCATTTTCGATCCAAAGTTTTGCCACATCTCTGCGTGCGTCGCATTCACATTCCATTCCAAAGTCCCTCTGCAGGACTACTGGAACGGCGTGGTCCTTCTTATCGCTGCTTTATTCCTTTCTGTCCAGGTGGCCTAAAGGATCAGACAAGGAATAAGGAAGCTCACGTGTCTAGTGTGTGTGCGGTGTCTGAAAAAAATCAGAAGCTCAAAAAATGTATCTGTGTAGGGTAGGGGGATATGAGCGTAACTGGTATAATGCTCTCACACTCTCCTCACAATCTTGCTCTCTAAAAATAGGTGGGTAAAGGTCTCTGTCTGAAAATCGCCAGACTCAGCACAACACTAGCAACGCGAGGGGAAGGAGAACCCCCTCGCCTGCATCACAGTTTCAATCGGTAGACGGTGCAAAAGGAGGCGCCAAAGGTAAACAGATATGGTAGGGGTAAGTAGGTCGGTCCAGATGGCCCCGAAGAAAAGGTTAGGCCGGTCACCCTGCTGTACTTTCCACCAAGCCGAGGTCGTCGAGAATGCACCCGAAGATGTAAGCCTCCATCTCATACCGTCCAAACCACCCTCCGAGATGAGAATATGCTGGATCTCATCTATCACCTGATCACTAAGGCACACTCCAGTACCCAGAATCCTCTCTAGCCTATCCCTATCCCATCTCCCCTCCGTCCACAGGTCCTTCACCTGTAGAAAAGGAAGGTGGGTGACCTGTCTAGTGCTCAAAAGGGGGCCCTCACCGAACCACCACTAATCCCAATAACGAACCTCCCCCTCCCCCAGAGGCCAAAAAATGTGCTCCTGAGCACGTCTACCAACCCTGGTGAGCCGCCTCCACTGCCTGCTATTGCGGGCGGTAGCCGTCACCCGATAGGGATGGGCAGCGCCTCCAGGACAGTACTTCCGGCGAAGATACTGCGCTCAAAGTGACATACCCTCCCTAAATTGCCACCACATTTTGTAAGAAAATGCAGTGTGACGACATCCGAGAAACGCCGGATTCTGAGATCTCCTCAGATAAGGGGCAACAAACAGAGTCCCACTTCACCCAATGGACCTGTCTCCCTCTCCGAGAACTCTCTCCATGCCCCAAAAAATAGTGTGCCAGAATCTGATCTAGCTCGTGGATAGTAGACTGGTAGGGTGTTGAGGGTCCTCTTGATCAGAGCAAGCCGGCCCCCAAATCCCTTAACTTAATATTTAAATGTGAATATATACTAAATGAATCCAATGTTTTAATATCGTATTCCCAAGTAGTGATGTTTGGCTTCGATAATAAGTAATGATATAACATCAAATACAATATTAGAAATATGATTGTAGTTTTTCATCCCCTAAAATAATATACATCTCTCGCTCTCGCTCTACTTGTAGTTTTTCAAGTAGTGATTATAGTTTTTCATCCCCTTAAATTTCTTACATTTAGTAGATAACTTTCTCTCTATTGGATGATGATCGACTGTATTGGGAGAGGTTAAAATCGTGTGGCGATGGCCAGGCCCGCAACGTGTTCGCCATTTCCTTTGGCTGGTTTTAAAAGGGCAATTTCTAACCAACGTTGAACGAGGACGACGACATTTAACCTCAGTTTTAAGTCGCTGCTACATGTTCTTCGTGATTGCACGGACACTGCTCAAGTATGGGTCCGCCTCGTTCCGCCGCGAATAAATCGTCATTTCTTTAGTTTAAATTTGAAGGAGTGGCTCGCTGCAAACTTATTAAATTCTTTCGATCCTCCAGTGGTAGCCAACTGGGAGTGTTTGTTTGGTGTGACATTGTGGAAATTATGGCAATGGCGTAATGTAGCTATTTTCCGAAGTCGGAAAAAGGAAGCGACAGATAAAGTTCAGGAGATCAAAAACTTCGTTAATGGAGTTCTCCAATTTGCGAAGAATGATAAGAAACTTGGCGGTACCGGTGTATCCCAAAGCCAACGTTTTATACGTTGGGTGGCTCCACCAGCAGATTGGGTGAAAGAGAATTCGGACGGGGCTTATCATAAATCCTCGTGTATGGCTTCGACTGGAGGGTTGATTCGTGACACTCATGGAAAATGGTTAAGAGGCTTCATGAGAAATATCGGGATGTGCTCTATTATGGGGGCGGAGTTATGGGGATTATTTCACGGTCTTAGTAGGGCTTGGGACATGGGATATCGTCAGGTTGAGGCAGAAGTGGACAATGCGACCATCGTGGGCTTTGCGAACAATAAGGAAGATTTGATGGGTGTGCACTCTGGTTTGGTTCTTGGAATAAGATAACTACTTAGCGAGACCGACGGGTCAGAATTTCTCATATCTTTCGTGAGGCGAATTTCGCGGCCGACTTTTTGGCGTCTCTGGCGGCATCGACTCCTTTCGGTCTCCAACTACTTTCAGCTCCACCATCCGGTGTTGTCCCACGGCTAGAGCAAGACGTTTTTGGTGTATTTTATCCTAGGCAGGTTTATTCCTAAAGTTGCTTGGCGATAACCTCTCTTTGTACTCAAAAAGAACATTAAGGAAAATCGTGAAAGCTGCTATAAGATTACTTGACCATATTTAAATGAAAACTTACACAAGCAAGATTGTCGAACAATAGTTCTCTCAAGTCTCAACTCTCAAATGTAAGAAAGTAACTCCAAAAAGTTTGAAACATTAATTTTTTTATTTTTTTTTATTTTTATTTTTTTTATTTTTTTTGTAAAAGAAAAAGGAAAGAAAAGCGTGGAACAAAACCTTTGGTCAACATAGGAATTGATTTTGGTCCTGCTATCCAGTCCTCTTTGGTCAAGTCTGATAGTATATTTAATTATTTATGTATAATTATAATAAACCGCCACTTGTAATTGATTCATAATTCATTTAATTTCTACTGTTTATTTTCATCCTATTAATTCTTATTAATTCTTAAGAGCATCTTCAATGCAATTTTTGACATTATAAAAAATTATTCATATCATCAACTTTTGAAAGTGTGTCTCTATTTTTTTCTTCAATACATCTTGTCATGAACTCTTTCGTGATGAGGTGATTGTCATTTAATGTTGACAATGTTGAGCACACTTTCTAATATCTACCACCATGTTAAACATGATGACTCATCAATTTACTTTATATGTGTTTTTATTTTTTATTTTTTTTGTATCAATGAATTATTTAATTGGTTCACCTATACAATTAACTTTTTATCAAATTGATGCATTGGAGATACTAGTTTAATTGAAATTTTTAGTCTTTTAACATTATTTCAATGTGGATTAATATTAAAATCACTAATTGATATGTGTTAAAAATAAATAGTCTTTCACTTATAGCATTTTGGAGATGCTCTAAATGAGAGTTCACATTGATTGAGTTTTTTTTTTCTTTTTTTATTTAACGGAATGATAGATATACATTTGATTGGTTTCTCTCACAAGAAACTACAACAAAAAAATGTAAAATAAATGAAATGTGAAGCCCATTTGAAATAAATATATTACTACCGACAAAACTGCATGTGAGGTTTTGAAATTTCCACTTCATGCCAATAGGAAATTGTCCAGTTTCATTTTACATTAATTAAGTTAATTGAATGAATTTTGTTAATACACCTAAGAAAATTCACTTAAGACTAATAAATTAACGTTAATCATTCTGTCTTGAACAAATTATCCGTTCTTCACAACTGTTTCGTCAATTATGGAATTGAAGCTCGAGAGTAGCTTTTACCATATACGTTGGCTAGAGATCTGAGCACTAATTTGGTCAACTTAGTTAATTTTGGAAAATGTTATTAGATTATAAAACTAACTAATATTTGGTCCAGGTATATATTCAAACTATTATAGTAAATGCATTTTTTTTTTTTAGAAAAAAGCCTCAATTTCTGGAAGAGATATAAATGATAGAGGTCTTTAAAAAATGAAAATAAAACCCATAAAGGAGTTATTATTTTCATAAAAAAGAAACTATTTTTTTTTTTAATAATTGAGTTGATTTTTTCCTGATGATTAAACAACCATATTTTTTTTATATAAATTGACATAATTGTATACTTTAAAATATAATATAATTAAAATTTGACATTTTATATTATAGGTTTGTATTTTCTGATAAAAAAAATTGAGTAACTAAAGATTAGAGAACTAATGGAAGCATTTATATTTTTAATTAAGTTAAACTTCATACCTAGTTAATTTCGAGTAATCAACTCTTTAAAAAGTAGGAAACACGCGTGTCATGCACGCAGATTCAGGGGGCGTCAGCTTTAAAGCATTTCCCTTTTTAATTTTTCAAATTTCCTTTTTCCTACTCTTTCGAAGTTCTTTTAAACCTGCGCAGCGCATCAAAAGCACAGAATTAGAAAAGGAAAAAAACCTCACTCAGTTCACACACTCACACACAGTGCAAAAAGAAGAGTAGTGAAGAAAAGATGGGAGAAGAAAAAGGATCGAGCCTCGTTCATCTTCTTGTCATAGTTCTCAGCTTAACTGCGTTTGGATTTGCAATTGCTGCCGAACGACGTCGTAGCGTGGTAAGCTTGCTTCTGCTTCTCAATTTATGTTTATTTTGTATTGATTTTTGTTCGTCTAGCCAAATCTGGGACTGTGTTTTGTGCATTATGGCGAAAAGTTTTTTGTTTATGCCTGATTCTAGCAATAGTCTTGTTGATGTTTTTTAGGATTTTATTCTTTCCTAGAATTGGGATTTCTCAACAAGGTTGGCTTTAGTTGGCTAAGGGGATAGGTCAATCTTTCTGATAGTATATGTGTCATTGGGATTGTAATTTTTTGGGTATTAGTTTATTTCTGTTTATTAGTGTAATTGCTCTTCAAATCTGTAATTTAGGTGGATTTCTTTAGTAGTAAAGGGAAAGGTGGAATGGTGGATTTGCGTTTTTGGTTTATCATCCAGTGTCTGTATTGAGTCTTTGATTTGGTTAGGCTGCCTTTTGTTTTCTCATTTTTTTTTTCTTTTCCAGTAGACAATAATGATTCTTATTATGGTATTGTTTGTTGCCTCTCAATTTTTACCCATTTCCACTGAGTTGATTAGTTGAGACTTACTGAAAAATAATGGACATGTACTAAGTGAAGAACGATGCTCCTCCTTATTACAAGCAATGCTCGAATCCATTTCGAAAAAGAAAATGCTCTTATGTAAATGCTGTTCTTACTGTGGCACATTGAGGAATATTAGTTACAATAACTAATCTTTGGAAGTAACTTTGCTTGGATAATTTTAATTGAATAGCCCAAAATTCATATGCTATTCGTCATTCTTGAATCTTGAACTAAATCTTTCTAACATTTCACAGCCCTGAGCCCTCTAAAGTTGTTAGTATTCAAGTCACCTTGATATCTAACTTGACCAATGAATTCTAGTTAATTAAATCTTTGATTTTCATTTTCTCCCATTTGATCCAGGGCACTTTACATACAGACGAGATCACTAATCGAACATATTGTGTTTACAACTCCGATGTTGCCACCGGCTATGGAGTTGGGTCTTTCTTGTTCTTACTCTCGAGCGAGTCTCTTCTAATGGCTGTCACTAAATGCATGTGTTTCGGTAGACCCTTAGCTCCCGGAGGCAACCGAGCTTGGACCATAATATATTTCTTATCTTCGTGGTAAAAAAAACTTTTTAGCCATAAATCATAAGCTATCAGCTATAAGCTCGAAATTCACTTATAAAATATCATTCTTGACAAAGTGATCTTTACATTTATATTTATGATTTAATAAAAAATTTGCAGGATAACTTTCCTAGTTGCGGAGGCTTGTCTTGTGGCGGGTGCGAAAAAAAACGCTTACCACACCAAATACAGAAACGTGATTTACGCGGATAATTTCTCGTGTGAGTCCTTACGAAAAGGAATTTTCATAGCTGGGGCTGTATTTGTGGTGGCCACAATGATCCTCAATGTCTACTATTATGTCTACTTCTCCCGAGCCACCAATCAGACTGTCCAGAAAGTCAACCGTGCTAGCTCGACAGCTGGCAGGATGGGGCGTGTATAAATCGATATAAGTCTGTGGTGAAGGCTCGAAAAAAAAATTCGTGCTAATATTGAGTTTTTTATTAGATGTTATTAATCGATGAAGGTGTTAGTTTTATTCATGTCCCATCTGCCTGTCATCAGATATGTTTTTTATTCTTGATTAGTATTTTGGGTGGTGATTATAAACAAAAGCTGGTGAATTAATGGAGTTATGATGATTTATTTTTCTTTACATGGTTTGTTCATGTATGAATTTGGTATAGGATCTGTCAAGTGAAGGAATTTTGTTTGGATAGAAAATTTTTCATTGAGAGATTATGCTTTTGGCTGAGCGTTTGCAAAATGCAAGCCATAATATTGCTTACTATATCAGTGTCTCCAAGCTTTCTGGGTAAAATAAAACTTGGATCATATGTACTGTATTAGTATTGTTCTTATTATATATTAATGCAATGCATTTTCATGACCTATGGGCCTGACGGTTCAGGCCCGTATAATAATGCCCACAAGAATCTCTGAGCCCGTATAATAATGCCCACAAGAATCACAAAAAATATAACTTCGGACCATGGCCATCCGGCACCAGAGTTTCGGTAGCACAAAGAATCCCCGACATACCCACACTAAAAAAAATATTGTCCACTTTGATATTTTTAGAAAATATTGTCAATACTAAATACGGAGCAATATTTTTAGAAAATATTTCGACAAAAAAGTAATATTTCCAAATATGCTACTTTTATTATAAATTTACTTGATGTAAATTCTAATATATTTGGGTCAAAATAAAATGCGATTATAAATTCAGTGATATTATATGCAATGATACCGCCAAAAATTTAAAAACCAGTTGAGGGGCAAAGATAGGAGAGTTGCAATAGATAGGGGCAAAAAATTCAATGATCCCCCTGGGTTAGATAGGGGTAAAAATTCAATGATATTATATGCAATGATCCCCTTGGGTTCCTAATATCAAAAATTTCAAACCAGTTGGGTTGAGGGGCAAAGATAGGAGAGTTGAATGGGTGTGTGACCTTATGGAACCTGATGGCAAAAGCTGGAACCACAACTTAATTGCCCAAATTTTCACTGAGGATGAAACTAAGGAAATTCTTAATATTCCTCTTCTTAATAATGATACTAAAGACAGGTTCATCTGGGGAAAAGAAGGCACCTTTACAGTAAAATCCTGCTACAAGGAGATTCTGAAAAAATCCAGCCATGAAAAAGATAGACCCTGCTCAAGCAACACTGGAGAGTTGATGAAGAAAATGTGGAAATGCACCTGGTCCACCAAGCTTAAGCCAAAGCTGAAATCATTCTTATGGAGATGCATCCATGCTTCACTGCCAGTGGCTGAAAAGCTCTATACCAGAGGTATGTTGCCTACACCTCAGTGCCAAGTTTGTGGGGAAGGGGTTGAGTCTCTTGTGCATGTGCTGTTTCATTGTGACAAAGCTAAGAGAGTGTGGGATATTGCTCCTATTTCCTGGAACCAAAAAATCATAAAGCCTGACTGCTTTAAAGGTTGGTGGTCTGACTTATGCAATGCAAAGAAAGGAGAATGTTGGGAGGATAGGGTGGAGCTATCTGTGTATATATTATGGTGGCTATGGACGACACGAAACCTTTGGATCTTTGAAAAAAAAACCTATGATGACAAGAAAATTGTGAGGAAAGCCTCTGAGGAATGGGGTGAGTTTGTAGGAGTGAAGCAACCATTAAATGAGTCAGCTATATCAAATGCTTTGGATCAAGTAGGGCAAATTTGCTTATTTGTCAGTGCTTGCATAGTACCAGGCATGGGGTGTGGCTTTGGGGGTGTAGCTGTGAACAGGAACCAAAGTCCAATGGGCATGAAATGGCAGGTTTTCTTCCTAATTGCTATGATGAATCTGAGGCACTCCTGCATGGTGTTCAACGTGCCCTGTGGCTTGCTCTAATGAAGGACTGGAATAAGCTTGAGGTCTACATAGATGATGAAGTTATTGCAAGGCATCTGAGGAACACTCATTCTTTTGACGGGCTGATGAAGGAAGTAGCTGATAATATCTACATATTAGCAGAATTAAGTTTATCTTGTTCATTTGATGTCTCTTGTTCAGATTTTATTTGTATGGCATCTTCTTTAGCCCTTGAGGCTATTTCATCTTGTTCTAGCCATGAATGGCATTGCTAATGTTTAGTTGTTAGGGTCTCCTACTGCTATCTGTTATTGTGATCAGTGGATCACCGACTGTAAGACATTTTTCTCGTTCTTGTGAGTGGAAATTATCTAACGTTTGGAAAAAAAAAAAAAAAANAATATGCAATGATACCGCCTTATGAAAACTCATAAAAAGCCAAATTCCACCCACGAGCTTCAACCTGAAAATAGTTCTCGAATTTACTATATTTAACAAACTTGTCCGCGTTTTTCCCACGGTTCAAAAAGTGCAACAATATCTTATCGATACTGATGAATTAATGTTGAGAAGACTCCCTTAAAATCGGCGAGCCTGCACCTTAGAAAGAATATTCATAGTTAAACATACAAGAGGAAGGAAAACGATCACGTTTAAACTCAATGGTTTATTCGAAAGTCCGACATATCGTCACGACATAGTCGATTGTGAATTCTCGTGCGTTTAGGGGTCGGAGATGAATTCAAAGTTAGAAATTCAGTCGTTGTGAGTGTTAGAGCGGTTGTAATCAGAGCATTAAGGGTTTTTTCGTTCACGACTCTTAGATATCTATAAATTTTACTATTCATACCATCACATGTTTACCGATGACCTCACAATTAATTATTATTATTCTTTATATTGCATAATTTTACATTAAAAAAATCTTTCTCACTAATAATAAATTTACACAAAACATATATAATTACACTACCTGTAATTCTTGTTTAATAAAAATACTTCGGTATCATCGATTAATTTAACAAATTCTAATGATGACCCCCAAG